CGTGCTAGCATTCAGGAGAAAGTTGGCAGTGTGAGCCTCCGCTGGCGTGGTGTCCGGGATGGGCCGCAGCCCCAGCGCCATTCCCACTATGGCCGTCATGTGCGTCTCCGTGCCGAACACATGGATTGGAATGCCTGTTGTCTGACCTGTTGGTGATATGCATAAGAAATAGCCGTACAAAATCAACTCACTCAGTGCAATGCATTTAATTTACTCATTCGATTTTGTTTTTAAATAGTTTTGCTTTTTAATGTTAATAATTCTGGAATTTAGGCTCAGGATTATCTGTGGTTCAGCAAAGATGTTTGGTTGATTTTATTTTATTTATACAGTAAACCCTTGTTAATTCAACACATATGGGGCTCTGTCCTTGCCGAATTATCCATAATCCCGAATGATGTACAATGGTACTCCCCAATGCCTTCTGTATTATTGCATCTTAATTCAAACAAAACTCACCAACTTCGCGCATGACACGAAGGCCCTCTTGGTAGTTGGGGCCTCCACGTCGCACAAAAATGCTCACGCCATTTTCCTTTAGACGAGCCCGGAAATCTTTGATTGCTCGCACAATGCCCTGTCATGTGAGTAAATAGATTGCAGATTCTCAAGCGCCACAATGAATTATACATGAACATCACCAAAACCAAGCTCAACAAAAACAATCTAAATTACTTGCATGAAAGGTATTTCAATTTAAAGTTGCAATTATGGTCATTAATAAACTTTGGGATCTGTTTCATTCTAATGTAAAATATAATGGCAACAACGTACTTTGAAGGTTGCAGCGACGTTTGTGAAGTTAGCAATGCCTCCTCCAATGATGAGCACTTTCCCTGAAAGAAAATTAGTCTGATGTAACAGAAGTCATCGTTTGACCTTTTAAGAGCCAGAAAACCAAGGATATTTTCTCAAAAATGTTCAATAGGGCCTCTCATTGATAAGATGAATTTAAACAATTCACATTATTCTGGTAACGTATCCTATAGACCCTGCATTTACTCCCAGGTAGCAAAATGCTCTGTACCAGGGATGTGCTCTTACCATCAGCGTGCTTTTCACGAGTCATGAGTGACAGGATGGTTTTGGCATAGTCATATGTCTGCTGCTCACTGGGTGCACCAGAGTACTCTCCATAATTAGCAAGCTCCTCCATTGCACCCAGATCACAGATGGTGTCACTATTTGAATGAGAATAAAACAGAGGAAGGACATATTCAAATTAAGTGACAAAATATGCATCAATTGCGTAAATTGACATTCAAAAGTACAGCTGGTGACGTTTGAAATAAAGACTCAAACAAGTTATATTGAAAGCATTTATCAATACGAAATTGTAAAAATGTATATATTTTTTAAGCAAATTGAACATTTTCAAAGACCTGTAGACGACAGATGCCCCTCCACCAGCTACCATGGTCCAGATCCGACCCCTGGGATTTAGGATGGTCAACTTCAGGCTGGCACCACTCTTCGCATCGAGATCAGCGATGTACGCTTCCTATTCACATATAAAACCAGTACTGTGAATACACTATTAGATGTAGACTATCTCTAAACCATAAGGGCATTGGAATCATTTTGAAATGCAAAACATACTTATATGACACTGGATAAACAGGGCACACCTGATACAACATTTATCTGTGAATATTTATGTGCAATTATTGAGACCAGGAAACAAAATATGCCCGTGTCAGATAGTTTATTACCTCTGGGTAGGCTTCACGGCCGAATGGGGGTGGAAATTCAATATCGCCCCATTTGGCCTTGCAGAGATAGTCTGCTGTGGCATCCAACTTGGCAGCCATATCCAGCACATACACCCCATCATCTGTTACAACTGCACCACACAAACAACACATCATTGCATTACACCCTGCAGTACACCAGAAACAACTGATTAAGCTATGCTTCAGTTTAGTACACAACAATTATGGTGATTAATATGCTGTCAAAAAGCATGGGGGTAGGTGAGGGGCAAGTCGTAAGGTGCTTGGCAAGATGGATGGTGGCAAAGGTAAGCAGGCAGACAAAATTAGACAATGATAGGTGCACTATACCAAGTGGATTTATCTCCAGGTAAGTGAAGTATAGGTCTTCAAACAACTTGAAGAGCTCAGTGACAAAACTTGCTAGAACCCTGAAAAAAGCAGACATCTTTAATTACTGCATTTATGAGTGACTAGTATTTTAAAAACATTATTTCAATTAAATTAAAATGTGTTTTATTTTAAATCGTTGGTACACATTCTCATACACATCTTTGTTTAACAATAATTAGAAAAATTGTATTTAAAAAATATGAAAACGTATCATTGTTCATGTGTTTACTTAATTATTCACTCAATTACAATAAAACTCATGATACACATGGATTATGTAACAGTTTTCAACAACATGCGTTTGTCCTTGGAGGAGTTTAATTATCAATAATAACTAACTTTTAAAGCTGTGGGACATGAGATCAAGTTACATGTGATGACATCATAGCATTGACTGCCAGGGATAATCCTTTGAGTGCTGTTTTATCACCAAGTTCATGACGACCCTTCAATCAATTTGGTTAGTTTTCTCTAGAACAATTGTGCCCATCTACCCCCTACAGACAGATGGATTGACAGACAAGCAGGGTCAGCACTCATGCATTCATGCTTTCAACCTTAGTTGGAAGGTGTTAACACATTTCCATCAGGAATATTATACATTGTCTATTATCTTATGGACAAAACCAGCCTAGCATTGCTGTACTCACTCTTGGCGGGGACCAGGCACGTTCACCAGAAGCTGCGTCTTCACCTGTTCTTGCGTCAGGCCCTTGTCAATACCCACTAGGAAGCGCAGAGCCTTGGAGTCCACATCCCCCACGTCGACCCTCCCTCGTGGTGGAAGAGCACCACATCACCCTCGCGGGTTGCGTAAATGCACACATAAAACTCCTCCTCCTGCCAGAAACGGTAGGCGGTGAACTCAATGACATCTCATGCAATAAATAATCTACAACTTTAATATTAACTGAAATCAAGCCTTCACTAAATAACGAAAAGTACATTCAATATTTACAAAGAGTGGAATGTTAAATATGAAAATTGTATTAAGGGCATCTTTACTTATCAAAAATTAACATTCATGTATTTATTTATAAACTGATACATGATGCCTGTAAACTCTGTAATGTGAATAAACATCAGCTTGAGCTGAAAAATATTTTTAAAAAATACATTGTAAATAAAAACAAGTTTCAGACACAAATTTAACTTTGACATGCATTTTTAATGTTCAGTATTTTTATTCAGTGCACAGTATACAATCTGCTACAAGCCAGTGAACCAGGCTATCAACAACATTAAAATGTTATGGTATATATACTACCATAATATAAACAGCGAATGAATTGATATCTCTTGATGACTATAATTTGTAGAAAATTGCTTATTTTATCATATTACCTGTTGGTGGGGTACAAAAGGTTCAATTATAAAGTTCTTCAATATGCCTGAAGCTGCTTCAACCTGAAACAAAACAATATAAAGAAAATGTGATTATTCAGCATTTATGAGTATAAATGAATTGAACAATTCCTTCTGGTAAAACCACGATGATAAAATATCCAATTATCTGTAAGCGGACATTGAAAACTATGAGTAAACATAACATCAAAAATAAAATCAATCTGCTATCATATATAGCTAAAACCACACAAGCTGTGCAAGCACTGATCCTTTACAACATTAATAACCTGCTAATTGTAAGCTCAGTTAAATTTCTTCATGATGAATAGCTTAATTTGTGTAAACAAAAACTGACCTGGATCTCCTGACCTATTCGCGTTCTAATCCACTCCTGTACACCTTGGAAATCTAAGTTGACGCCAATCAGTCCAAGCTTTCCACGGCGCTTAATTAGCTGGTCAGGCTTCACCACCAGCCTCTGCAACAAAAGCAACAAGGAGTATTTGATAAAAAAAAGTAACTTACATCCCTTTTGTCAATCCACTGCTGGTTGAAGGATTCCTATTCTATTATGGTTGTGGTGGCTGTTTAATCACTCTTCACGACATTGGTAAGTGCAGGTTGGTGAAGTGCGAAGGACCCAGGACTGGTTCAGATATCACTTGACACTTACACAAGCTGTTGCCGGAATACATCTCAGAACGACAGATAACTAATAGGGAGGATGAATCATTGTGCCACTGCTCACTAATATTCTTAATTTTCCTTTTCTACATTTGGGAAACGCGTGCCATTCACTCTTTAATGTGGAGAGATGGTCGCTAACAGAATACCCAGAGAACATTCAATTATTGAATAAATGTAAAACTACAACTATTAAGAATCAACTATTTTTTATTTTATCAGGAAAAGCCCACCGAGCTATATATACTCTAAACGCATGTTGATTCTAAATGTGGAGGGAAAAATCAGTGGACCTGGAGAGAAATTCACGTGACGACGGGGAGAACATGTAAACTATAAATATACAGGCGTCAGGGTTGAGTCAAATGCTAAATGTTTGCCAAGGACATTCAATTGATTTTGATAACGTTGGAGTGTTATGCAGAACTAATTATTACTGGCCAAGACGAGTTAGAGAATCGATCAAAATTGAGAATTCAAATAATTTCAACCACTCTGATAGCTACAGACTCAGTGCAGCCTGGAAGCGTATTATTAAGTAATACACAACACATTACAAATCCTTACAAGTGAGTCACATGGTAAGTGGCTGATCTGATCTATTACATAATTGCATACACCCCCACACCTGCCTGTGATCTCGAAACGTGATGAGGTTCAACAATGATGACGTCATCCGGAAGCAGGTGGATGGCTTCACTATTCTGGTAAATCGCCCGAAGATGCTGGATGTAATTTCCAGCGAAACGTCGTACTCAAATTGTAAATGTTGTGGATTCACTCTTCAACACACCGGTGGGCTAAAGTAGTGAACTATTTGTCTTATGTCAACGTAACACTTTTTACTGATTGGCCGTGTCGTTTGGTGGAGGGTTGGAACACATTTATGAATAACGCGATCTAACCCAAAAACCTATATGATGAATAATACTGGTCGCGAAAGCCTACGTGTTAAATTGCAAGAGGTGGCTGCAGCTTGCAGTGGGCCTTCAACATGCGGAAGTTTGACCATGGCTGATGATGATGAATGCAGTTGCCTCGAATGGCCGCAGGGGTCACCCTTAACTGAATGCTTAACGTATGTTGAGCTCAAGGATACATATGAATGTGATTGATGGATGCTTCGTTACGCATCAACAATATTGATCACTACTCATACAACCTGTCCAAAACTCGCCTTTACTAAATATTTATACATGAAACGTGTTAAAAGTTACATTCCAGTTTGAGTAGAACATTCAAGTCTTTATACTGGTTCCACTGGTCAAACTACTTTCAGCAGAACAATTTAAGTGTGTTCACAAGCATACCAGTCACAGCTGTGTAACAACATTTTCAATTCAACTCAGTTTTAGCTCACATGATCAAGTAGCCAGGGATGTTCCTGGACAAGCCGATCCCAGTCGGTTTCGGAGGTGAGGGTGGCATGACGCGATTTGTTTTGAACGGACACTGCAGCACTCAGATGTTTGTGCACTAGAAATTTCCCAGTCGCCTCACGAACAGCTTTTGCAGACATGACCTGAAGTAAAACACAAAAGCATACCATTTATATTCTGTAATTTCTCAATTTACCTGCATTCTCATGCCAGTTTAATTAAACTCAAAGCCTTATAATTCCTTCTCACAAACAAAGCAAGAAATCCACATTATTAATCGTAGAAGCCTTTATAATTATCAGTGAAAAAATGCTGACCCTAACGATAAGATAAAATATTTTCTTTTGTAGAGAAAACCTTATTTTGTACCTGCAATTGTATTACGAAAACGTTGTTTTACAGCTACTTCTTAAAACCAAATGAACAAGTTGCCAAGGCAATAATCAGTTTTTCGCCATTTAAAAGCTGCACGTATTTTAATGTAGACACGTTTAACACCATTACAGTACAGAAGCGCAAATTACTCATTGCAAAAGGACACTACTGTCAAATACAAATGACCAAAATACAATGTTCTGAGCAATTAAGTAAAATAAAAAAGATATAATTGTATGTAGTCACACTACTCGTATTCAATTTTATAAATTAACCTAATTTTTGTGGGACCTGACAGAAAAACACAAGACATTAAATTTACGGGACACAATGTCTTATTGTGTGCATGCATTCCATGACATTAACTGCAAGTGAACTGTGCTATACGGGCAGAAAAAAAACACTGGTTGTAAATAACTTACTACCATTAATTTATAACAAGCGTGACCAAGTGTCTGTAAAGCCCCTCCGATAATGGTCTTGGATTACAGTGCATAATCACACCAAGTGGAAATGGTATGGATTTTAGAAATGCTATTCCATATAAATTATGGATTTTCACAACCTTAGTTGCTGTCCATTTTAAAAAGCAAATAAAATGATAATGGAGTGTTTAAAAGACAAACATTTGCATAACCCTACGCCAAGCAGTACAGTGGTAAAACGGCCACATCGAAAAGGCAATGAGCAAGAAGATAACCTCGTTGTTTGCTTAAACAGAAAATACATACAATGTTTACTCGGTTGTCAGGTTTTCCCTGGGCGGTGTGCATGCTAAATCTGGTTTACAAACTGATGACATACATTTGGCCGACTTGTGAAATGTGATCACTACACAAGATCCAGGTAATTCTCGCTTAAAGTTGTCCAAGCCCGATCACTAGTGATATATCAATACAGCTTTGTAGTCTGGTTCATTTGGCAGACGGTTTATTGTACTAGATGTGGTATAAAGTACAATATTTTGGCGATTGTAAAGTTTTAAGGCTCATAATCCATGCAGAGAGAGAGAGGGCTTTAAAATAGTGAAACGCCAATACAGTACATAACCATTTTATCAATCCACTGCGTGACGTGGACCTGGCCACCCCGTGGAGGATATTTGACCATACTTCACCACACTGGCCAAGTACGTTTTGAAGGGGAAGCATACGCGATTAAGCATTGTACAAATACGATGGATTTCCCTGCACTGCCATATGCTGACGATACAGCCAGGCGGAAGCCTGCATCTATTATGCATAATGGTCTCCCGTCAAATCACTATCCAGGCTCAGGGCTGCTTAGCTTCTAAGATTTGACGATGTTTGGGCGCGTTCCATGTGCTTTGGCCATAGGCTGAATTACACAATGACACACTTGTTAACTCTGTATATGGAATGTTAATAATATACCCCATCCTAAGTGTAAATGTGACGATGTACGCACTTTCATCACTAAACCCCTGGGGAAAAGACCACATTTAAACCAAACCGAAATTATGCGTGGAGACAGTGAGAAATGTATTGCGTTTTACGAGGAGCCTAGCATTGGTATTTCGATGCAGCACAGTATAACTTGCAAGTGCAGTCCCTGACTTTGAATGATATGGGTTGTGATTAATCAATTGTAATGGGCCCAGTGTCATCCGTCACAACAGACTAAGCACATGTAATAGGATCAGAAGCACGTGGCTAGCCCAATGCCACTGCTGACAGAATTCATGTACAAAAGAGAATCTGACATTACACTATTAAAAGTAGTTGGCACATTTAACACTGCAACGTGACCATCATTCATTTCCAGCCTATTTATGGCAGCTGGGTCTCATGGTTTGTTGGCATAACGTGCTGACATTTGCAAACTAATGACCATTAGTTAATGAGCAATTGATGCTGCTGTATTTCATTACGGTAAAGTACAGTCGCGGCCACAGCAATGTGGAGTGAGCAGACCACATCAACTCACGAGTCGTCCAAATGACTGCAGTTTATTCACATCAGTGACTTCCTTACATCACAAACGGAGCGTTATACCGTACACAACCGAGCTCAGCGATAAGCAGATGGGGTTCATCACGCATCGTCTGCTGAAACCCTGCTAGATAGTGTGTTGTGGAGAGTAATGCAGTTCTTCTTAGTGCTATTAGTATACAGTACATCAATTAATAGTCTACTGTATCATAATTCAGAATGGGCCCAAGCCTTCAAATCGTCAGCCGAGTCTCTCGGGACAAACCTCAACTCTCACCATCAACGACAGACGTAGCGACTCCTAACACCGACATATCTGTGATTATAATCCAAACTATTACTAAAGTACAAATTACACATATCTTCCGATGAGCAGCACTGACGTGTATTAGAAATACAACAAGCAAAGTCACCGTGCGACACATGTGCAGTCAAACCGCTGCAAAGTAAGCGTGACGCGGAACTTACCGTAGAGGCCTAAAACAAACGCGAAAAACCACAAGGATAAAAACAATCACCCGATTACGGATAAAATGTTCCTGTTGTTACTGTCGTGAAGTAGCGTTTGATATTCGCCCGAGACGCTGTTAATTGCTCTGTTGCACCGAGGCGAACGCTTTCCTGCCCCGGCCCTAACTCAAGCCGCAATGAATGAAGGGGGGTTCCGGGTGAGGGGCGTGGCTAAGAAGAGAGGCGGGGCTTCGCGGCAAGGGGGCGGGACTTCGCGACAAAGGGGCGTGGCTCGCGGCAAGGGGGCGTGGCTTCGCGACAAGGAGGCTGGGCTTCGCGACAAGGGGGCGGGGCTTCGCGGCAAGGAGGCGGGGCTTCGCGACAAAGGGGTGTGGCTTCGCGGCAAGTGGGCGGGGCTTCGCGGCAAAGGGGCGGGGATTCGCGGCAGGGGGGGGGTGGCGTGGTTAATCGGTCGTGGCGCGAGGGGGTCTGCGTTGGGTGGGGGGGGGCTGCGTGCCCAGACCACAGCAGCATGCCCCACAAATCAGCTTCTGTTTGGACGGATAGAGGGGGGGCAACGGGCACGACACGGGCTGGAGAAGGGATGGACTTCATGCGGTACGGGAGGATGTGGAGCTGAGTGGACTTGTCGAAAAGGCTTGGTACCAGCGCTGTCAAGATCGGCCTCTATGGGAGGGCAGTTTTGAGGCAGACGTGAGGTGACGCCCTACTGGGCAGTTGGTGGCAAGTCGCCCCTCCAACAACGGAGGGCAAGAGGAGCGATGCTCACAACAACGAGCGGCGGATTAAAATGCAGCAAGTTGGCACAGTAAGGGGGTAGAGCGGGTCCAGTCAGTCAACGCCCATGGGGTTATGGGCCGTGTGACCTCCTGCCCAGCAGTGACGCCTTCGACACACTTCATTGTGACGTCACAGTGCACCTGACCTGGCAGAGGCGCCGTGGTGACGTCACCGTCACTTAGTGACGATTGGTCTTGGGCGTGGGGGGGGCTACGACGGGACGTGGCTTGGAGGGGCTTGGTGGGAGGTGGGTGGGGCTCGCCTCCAAAGTGGGCGGGGCTTAAAGCGGAAAAGGGGGGGGGGGTAGCGATCACGCGCCACTTCTGGCAGACCGCCCCCCAATTCGCAAATGCGGAGCTGTGATTGGCTAGGAGCGTATCGCGTGATCTCGCCACTCACCCCCTCCAATATATACGGGGTCATCCCCACACACGCCTCCACCACGCGCTCTTACGTGGCGCTTGGATAATTAACATGCCGACACGAGGCGACGTGGGCGTTGTGTATCAGACGCATGTGCGGGTTACGTTGATGTTTAACAATGAAGACTTTAGGCCAAGCAAAGTTAATAATCCACTCCATTAATAAAACTGTATAACACATTTTTTTTGTTCCTGTGTAATAATTGTTATTTCCTATTCGCTTATGCCTCTAAATTGCAGAAAATGGCTATTATTCCCCACAAACTTTGCTTTTGTGACCAGGACAGTGATATTTTGAAATTTACACAATTAGAAAATTAGAAAATAACATTACCCAGGAACAAAAATCGTGAATTATCAGAGCTTGTTTGCTTGTTTGCCACAAGTATGTGTGGGTAATGCAGACTTCATTCCTTGCAAAAGGTGTCTGATGTTTGAACATCTTAACACCTGTTTTATTGCTACTGGCAAAATGGTCCCATAGATGTTTAAACAGCCAGTTTTAATTCTTTGGTTCTTTCGGTAAAGTCGCGTATAAAGATAAAATAATAAATTAAATTATGTTATCTTTATACGTGACTTTACCGACAGAACCAAAGAATAATTCCTGCAGTCACGAAAGCTCCAAATTAAGCCAGTTTTAATCCATAATGTTGCATGTAAAGGGATTTTATTGGGTTAGATCGCGTAAATATAAATGTGTCGTTAAACAAGCCACCCCTCAGCCAATTAGGTACCGTAAATAAAACGTGCCAATTAGCGATTACTTTAGCACACTGGTATGTTGGATAGTAAATCAACAACATGTACAATTTTGAGTACGACGTTTCAGGGGTGATTACAACCAGCTTCAGCCGATTTGCCAAAATCACCTTCATAAAGAACAGTCGTAAAACAATGTAATTGCTAAGCAATATTTGGATAATAAAATGATAGGCAATGTGTACACAATTTCTGGTCGAGGACATGCAGTTTGTTTCAGTTGAGGGAAGTCGATAAAGACCCTTGCCACACACCACTTCACGCAGATTCCTGCCAACGAAGGGAGCTGCAATTGTGTCCAGTAATGGAAATTCAGAGGTCGTCGATTCGGTTCCATATTCTGGCGAGGCAGTAGAAACAATTGATCCTTATGGCGGT